ATCTAGATGAGACCAAGTGAGGCAAGCCTGCACAGTATCACACTTTTCCAAAGGGATTGTCAAATCTGATGTCTTGCTGCAAAAAAGGAAGTCCTTCCAAAAGTAATTGTGTGTCAGTAAAAAGACTGAACAGAGCCAAAGAAAGATTTATAGAGGTTCTCTCAAATTCATTGTAGTATTACCTGTTTTCCTGGACTGAGACCAGGTGAGTTAGATCTTCTAACAGGTAGAATTGAAATCAGTAACTACCATCTAGGGGTCACTAAGTACCACACATTACTCTCAGTCAGTCACTCCAAATGCTTTTATTTCGCAGTATATGTGTAGAAATTTTAAGTAGAACTTTCAGTAGAACTGTCATTGCCTCCTGGATCAGTGCTTTTCACTTGCCAATCTGAGTAAACAATACTGGGTGTTTTATTCAACCTTCAAAAAATTGTAAAGACTGAGGTCAATGTGGCAAGCCTAAACATGAAATGCCACTATTCTTAAACTTGAATGAATGTATATTGGCTGCCACTTCATAATCAGTCAGCAACTGGATAATGATACTGAAAAATTGTCATATATTGAGTAGATTTTAAAGCTTGAACAAAGGATGTCAACAGTCGATATAATGACTTTCTCTGGCAACATAAGTTATCCTGATCCATATTTTTCAGTGAAGTCTTATGGCAGTTGTAAATTAGAGAGAGTTTCCATAGCTACAAGACATAAGGTAGTAACAAATGAAATAGTCACTCTGTTTCAAATAATTTTTTGTTTTGTTATCTTCTATTTCTTGTTTCTCTGTTAACAATTTAAAACAAATGTAAACCATGTTTAAAGAAACAAATTATTATACAGGATACAGTTCAATGTCTCATTACTTACTTTGATCCAGTAGTGGTGTTTGATTTCAAGTTGTCTAAGCCTTTTAGAGAGCAAATTTGTTGTTTCATAGTTGACCTATCCAGGCATATTAATCGTTCTACTAGCATCATCATGTGGTTTTTCTGTTTGCTGATTTAATTCCCTGTTTCTTTTCCATAGTTCTCACTTGCATGCTTTAATTTTTCTGCATCTAAAACAAATTTATTATGTGCAATCATTGGTATCTGAAAATGTAAGACTACATCGAGGAAACAATTTTCTGTGTTAGTTGATCATCAACATAGTTATTAAAGGCTTCAATGTTGTCAAATAGAGCATGACCAGATGTGGCAATGTGGGATGTGATGACATGATGAGGTTCCAAAATTGTTTCAATATGTACTCAACCTCTGTAGAACATTTGATATCATTGACTGATAAATGTTCATGAAATCAAAACTGTATTTAAGACAATTTACCAACAGCATTTGATTACAATGATTACATGGAAATGAAGCAAATTAAGCAGTTAAAAACGATCTGGGCCAGTACACCCAACATACCAGGTAGGTTTTCTTCTCTAAGTTGTTAAGATGTAGTTGGGTAGTTTTCTTTTTTTTTTAATAGAAAATGGATGGACTTTCTCAGGATCCAAAGGGTAGATTCCCATCAGGTAGCAGAGGTTCCAGAACACAGAGACTGACTCTCCAACTTATAGAGAAACTAGATGAAGTAATAATGGGGGTAGAAGTCAATATATCCACCTGTTTATTTGCAGCGGGCAACATAATGTGCAATGGTTGAAGATAGACTATACAGGAAGAACAGTGTATTTCTTACTGTAGCAGTGGAAATAATTGCAGTAGTATGATTCTGGTTTGAAAGAGGCATTACCATATTCGTCTTCACAGTACATGATGCAATTGAGTCTTAATCCTCTGTACCTTCTCCTCTTCAATCCATTTATGACATGATGGAGAATAAGAGGGGTGGGAACCATAGTAGTTGATATAATGTGTCTGCTTCTGACACTTGATTCTTTCATATCCTTTGCCACTGAAAGGGTGCAGATTAAATAGCCAAGATGTTTGATCTTAAACACTGATAGTGGAGATAACAGAGGATTATGAACATAAGAACAATTAAGGTAAATTCATGGCTGGTTTCAGCACTTGCAAAGGATAGTATGAAATAATCATCATGCTATTTATTCTGTGTAATGCAACTACTTTAAGGCTGATGGAGTTAGAATTTCAACAATTGCAATGGGATAGATGGTTAGCTGCCTATTGAGGATTTTGTTACCAATCTGACCTTCACATAGAAACAGAAACTCCATGAACTGCTTCTTAATTTTTCAGGTATTTTGGTGGTACCAGATGACTATCTGGTGGGGCAAAAATAACATATCATTACATAGACCTGGATGATGTATGTTTAATAAAGCAACTGCCATGTAGGCTTCGTTAAATAACCAGTGCTAAAATCCAGTGAATGCTTAGTCATCTTAAGTTATCACAAAAAAGAAGGAACTTACAGCTCTAGATAAATGTGTTAACATTGAAGCATTACTGTAAATGGACAAATATCTGGATAAACTGGAAGGTACCCTTTGATTCAAGTGTAAGGGATCTATCTTTTGTGTACAGGCAAATTGAACTGGACGGTTAAGTTAGATTTAAGACTAGTTTTAGTACTGGGGAATCATGGTATAAAATACACATCGTGATGTCATAAAGTTGTGTAAAAATCTAAGATGTTTTTCAAAGATAGAAACTATGTCAAGGATTTCAAATGCAAAAACTTGGAAGAAAACATTAAGAATTTAAGCTGTTAAAACCAAAATTAATGATAAAATTTTCTCACTTATATATGTATGAATGGTTTAACCTTAAATGAGTTGGTTAAACCATAGGAACTTGTTAATCACAACCTTAAATGTGTTGTGATTTTATGAACTTGCTAATCACAACCTTTAATGTGTTGTGATTTTATGAACTTGCTAATCACAACCTTAATGTGTTGTGATTTTATGAACTTGTTAATAACAAATACACTTTAATGCACTTTAATACACTATTAAAGTTTAAATATCTACATTTTGTGTGCTTTAAGTGTAACACTATATATATATATATGTATGTGTTCTCAAAGATTATGGTTTACATGTAAAATATATATAAAAATTGCCGATTTAAACATTAGATGCTTAAACTGTGCCTCCTGCTGGCTCAGTGGTAAACTTAAAAGCTTATAACACTAAAACTTGGGGTTCAAACCATGTGTGGTGGGCACAGTATTACATATGGTACCTTTGTGCTTAAAAAGAAAATTAAACTAAGCTTAATGTGTAAAGTAAACTACGAGTTAGGTTTCTTTGGAGAAGTATGTAAAGTTAGAAGATGTAAAAGATCTATACTTAAAGTGTAATAGTATATGAAATCTCAAAGTGTAAACTTTACAGTTGAAAGTTTATGTAAATGTATATAAAAGTTAAAAAGCAAATATTTGCTTAAGGTTGAAAGCATTTAGAATTTAAAAAAATCGAAAGGTTTTTGCTTGATATGTGTAATTATAAGAAACTTACAAAAATTAGATATTTAAAATTTAAATAATATCTAAATCAAACAGTGGAAAACTATTATACATACCATGTTACAGACTGTATTAAAACATACACAGCTATCTTTTTCGTCTCCTATCTTTCTTAAAAGGTTTTATGTATATTCTTGTATGTATTTATCTTAAGTTAAAGGGTACGATTTATGAATTGTCTGTTATATATATACTTGTATCTAACATATATATCTCTTCATTACAGTTTTTAATATATGTACTTATGTTTTTACTTCAGAGCTTATGTTATTTTTAAAACTAAAAATATAGATGTTATCATTCAGTGAATATGGTCATGTTGTCTCTTACTTCAAGAATGGGCCTTCATTAAAACTGTTTACAATTATAAAGCTAAAACGGAACCATGAATGCTCTTAAGGTAAGGGAAAGTGGAGCTATAGTATGCACATTTTATGGCTATATCTCATTTATAACTTAGAAAACTAATATATTTTCGTTCAGGCATATTCATGTAACTTCTAAATATTCTTACGGGTTGCCTGTACTTAGTTAAATGTTTGATGTGAACAGAACGTACCCAGCTATGAACTACTATATAAAATCAAGTCTTTAAGCAGGACTAGTGTAGGTGCATATTTCCCTGTTACTGGTCAGTACATCAGATAATTGTTTGGTTACTTTCTAACAATGTTTAGCATTCTAGACAAATCAGAGATACAGTTGCTGGAACCTTGATTTCCTTTTTTGGGGTAATGATGAGTTTCCTGAATTGAGTGATGTAGCACTTTCGAAAAGCCCTAGATGAATTTGAATATAGCTCCAATAATACAGCTATTGGTCAGAACTTGATCTGCTCAAAGTTTCCTCATCTTCATGAGGTCTATTTCAGGTTTACCTTTTGTCCTTAGTTGTATTAAGTCCATGATTTATCTAGTAGGCTTTATTCAAATTAAATTGTATTGTGTAATTCTGAAAGAAATGTCATATGTAGTGTTCTTCAGTTATTCAAATTGATCAGTTAGTTTCTGATAAACATGTTTATTTACAAGATACAGAAAACATTAACTAAACACTGACAAGTTTTATCTCTGACTTGAATAACAATCACACCACAAGCCTACAACTGACCCTAACCTCAAGTAGCTTTAAGGAGTATGTATTAACCTTAATTATCTAAGTTACCTTTATTAAAAGAGAAATTAGTTCCTACTATAAAGCTTAGAGGGTTGAGTTAAAACATAAATATGTCTTCACTAATGGCACAAGTTCTGTTACTTACTTGAAATTTCTTAAAAGTAATATTTTTGATCTAAACTCTTCGTGACCTGAAAACACGTCTGAAACTTTCAAAACTGCTATATAAAAGTGGACAGTAAAGAGAAACACTGTAAAACAAATCTATAGTTTTAATTTACTGAAACCAATTCAAAATAAACAAAGCCAATCCTGCTGAAAACTGGTAAGGAGAAACAAGAAACACAGTAACTTTATACATCTTGCACGGTTCTTTCATATGTATTCAAATATTTGGCCATCAAGGTGAGAAAACAATGATCAAGACTACTGTATTGTTTTTTTTTATACCTTATTTAAACATAAATGATATTCTAAGATTAAAGAATTTTGATGCTGTTTCTCTTGGTGTTGTCATTAAACAAAGGTTATTCTGCTTCCAAGGCAGTGCTCATTTTCTGAATAATTTACTGAGAAAAATGGAAAGGTACGATTATATATTTTATTAATCTATTTATATAGAAACATAATTTCATTTGGAAAATTTTATGTAATTCTGATTACAACTACAAGATAATTGCACGCGAGTAAAACTTTTTGTACCAATTGTAATGTAAAAAAGCCATGACAGTGATTATAGCAATGTTAGACCAAGAAAATAGTAACTAGTGGTTGTTGGTTTCTTAGTGCAAAGTTGCACAATAAGCTATCTGCACTCTACCACTGGGTGGGGATGAGGGAATCAAACCCTAGATTTCAGCATTGCAAGTCCTTAAATTTACCACCGACTCTCTCGAGGACAAAAAATGAATAAGTATTATCACATCCACAATATCCCATTTGTATATGGAATAAAATACTTTTAAGAACATTATTTGGGAAACACACAAATGCTAAACCCTTGCCTATGTTAGTTTTGTTTATAGTATAGTTTTCTAAATCAATGACACTTCTAAATAACTTTAACGAAGATACTTTATATCTTTTCTGGGGTTAAGTAAATTTGAGTGGGAAATGTTAAGTATGTTTTATTAAGAATTACAAACTTAAAATAACAAATATATATATATTAATGGAAAGTATAAAAATTAATCCCTGCTATGTAGTTTCCTTACATACAATTACTTTGAATGTGTATTGAAAGGTTTATTAAATAATTCAAATACTGTTGCATATAAATAATTATATTCATTAAGTGATAACTACTGTAATTTTAGCTTACAGAATAAATAATATTAGAATTCTACAAGATACAGGAAAATCTCAATAACAGAAAACAGTTTTATGGGACAAGTTATGAATACGATACATACTGTACAAACAACGAGTTACTTAAGTACATACCAATAAAAATGTCACCAAGTGGAAAACATTGTCAAAATGTTAAATTCTGCAATATGGATTTTATTTTAAAGCAACAACACTAATGTTTAAAAGCTGAGCCATGTCATAATAAAAACAAAAGGTTGAGGTCATAATATTTAATATAACCACACATTGTCAAACAAAATAACAGCAAGAAAAATAACTTACCACTCATATCTTTCTTTCATAAACATCTAAATTACCCAAGGTATGCATTTGGAAAGTGTACAACATGTCATTAAAATAGCACTATTCCTAGTATTAAGGTGTTTACCTAATGTTAAAATAAGAATGTTAGAAATACAAATGTTGCATCTTAATTCTTAATCAGACAAGGAAGATTGCATTACTTGGAAGGAATACATTACGAAAACTATATATTACTAATATCGCTCATTTTGCAAAGTTTGCCATGAAAATGAAGTTAACTTACCAGTTTTTTGACAAAAAGGCTGAAATTGATAGAAGCAATAGTGAAATTACTATCTAATTATACTTATTTATGAATTATATTTTCAAAATTAAAAATATTACAGTTAACTAACTGCCTTTATTATACATGTTTGACTGTCATGTTTACTAAGTATTCAAATACTAAGAGTTTCCCAACTTAAACAGTTCTTTTCATTTAATGTGCTCATTGCAAAGGATACTAAGCTGTTACATCAGAAGCTTTCTCCATTAGATATATCATGCTAATAATAGTTTTGTTACTTCAACAACTTTCTTCACTGGTTTATGTGGGTAATGCTTTTACCCAACTAACTTTTTTGGATGGTTAAAGCTTGGGGTGTCATGTTACTTCCATTTACCAAGAATAACTTTACCGTCAAAGATTCCTTTAATTGCTCTGTATACACCACCAATTTCGATACTGAGTCTTTAAATACTAACATCCCACTTGATGAAGTAATCAAATTAACTAGTGATTTATTATTTCCTGATGACACTAAAATTAATGACTTAACTAAAAATTAATTCACTAAACTACTTGCAATTACAATCAAAGAATCTTACTTTGTGTTAAATAATAAGACATATGATCAAGTTGATGGTGTGGCCATGGGCTCACCACTTGCTCCCATATTAGTTAATATATTTTTTATCTTATCACAAAACTAACTGGTTACAGTACTGTCCATCTGAATTTAAACCTTTAGTTTATAAGAGATACATTGCTGACACTTTTATTGTATCCAGAGAACAGAGCCACGTCAAAATGTTTCAAGATTCTAAACACAGGAATATCAAGTTTACAGTTGAAGATCAAAAAGAATCTAAATTGCCCCTTTTAGGTCTAGAGATCGTCGACCTGAACAACAGGTTCGAAACTACATAATACCACATTTTCTGGTCTGTACTGTCATTTCAGCACATTCATAAGTGATTGTTACAAAATTAATTTAATAAACATTCTAATTCATAGAATGTATAAGCTTACCAGCTCTTACTGTAATGTTCATGATGAAGTAATGAATATCAAAAAATACTTGCCTTACCTCTAGCATTCATCAGCAAAAGTATTTTTCCATATATTAATAAAGTTTACAACCCTAAAATTCCAGACTTCAACAATCCCAAGTGTCCTATCACCTTGGTGTTAACCTTCACTGGTTCTCATGGCATCAAACTAAAAAGAGAAATCAAGAACATTCCACAATCAACTTATCCCCAAGTCAGCCTAAGAGTGATATTCAACCCAAACAAATAATTCTGTAATTTTTTCCTCTTCATAGACAAAATTCCTCCTTCAAAAAGATTGCTGGTGGTGTATCAATACACATATCCATGCTGCAGGCACGACTATGTCGGGTCAATGACACAAACCCTAGCTACCAGAGTCAAGGAGCATGCATAAAAGAACCCTTCCAACAACTCTGGTATGTACAACCATCTAAATAAAGACTATAGTGAAAAGCCTAACAATGGACACTTCAAAATAATACTCTGCAACAGATGAATGGGGATTAAGGAAAAAGGAAGCACTTCTAATATGAAACTTAAAACCAAAGTTGAACAATCAGCTAACAACACCACTGGATCTCAAACTGTGATAAACTTATTATGCCTGAGATGGGCAAAGAGTGAAAGCTTTGAAACCTTTGTTAAACAATCAAATAGAATAAAGTAAACCATACAGATTTCTACAAACTTTTCATGTTAAATGAATCCCATTTGTTATTACCATCCCTTTTAATAGTGTCTTTTCATTTGTATGCCAGAAAATTGAGTGTAAAAAATAAATTACAATTCATTTCAACAATAAACTTTGATATGTAGTGCTAAAGTTTTGGATATCAAAGTGTACCTCAATTTAAAGTTTCTGTGTTAATTTTGAAGTAAAATACAGTTAAGTAAAATGCTGTAGTGAAGAAACTTTCTTTTTCCTCAGTTACACAGGTTTTAATACTTATTTTGTATATATATGTTTTATATCATACCTTATGTACAATTTGCTACATCAATGTATTACTAGTGACCATATTTTAACAGTGAATATAAAAATATATTTCAGAGAACTATTCAAACAATACAAACTGAATTTATATAATGGTGAATTCAACAATAATGAAACATTATTCTGTAAAATTTTGTTAATAAATTATGGACATTAAAATAAACAACCTACAATCCTTTGGTCATATCCTTCATGTCTGTGTATATCCTGCTCATTATCCCCCCCATCCCCACAAAAAAAAAAAAAAAAAAAAGTAAAAAAGTCAAGCCTCCTTACTTTACTACTATGTTTAAATAAAGAAAAAAAGTCATATGTGATTGTTCCAAGAACTTCCAACATTTGTATGGCTACCTTTAATGCCAACATACTTGTCATGGATGAGCTGAATTTGTTTATTTATAATATAAAAAAACAATTCTACTATACAATAGCTACAAACATAACGTTGACTAACTTGTAAGGAAATAACTCTTTTAGCTGCATCTAACTGATGTTGTTCCAATTTTCCAACAAGTTAATAATTAATATCCTGAATGAAGTAAATGCTATAACTAATATTCCACTCATAAAATAAATGAAATTGTCAATGTGGCTGTTTCAAAATATTTACAGAAAAATGCACATTAGTTTTAATATACATAGGGAAATAAAATGAGACTAGTTAATACATTGCTATTAAAGAAGTATTCAGAAAAAGTTATACTAATAATCACAAGTGCTTGAGGTCAAGACATCACTCTGACAAAGTCCATATTATAAACTGTACAATTGCTAGCATAGAAAAATACACACATACCGAACTTCAGAACATAGTCGTGTAATATGTATTGGCTATTAAACAATCAAGTATTTACAGGCCTTCACCTTAACTAGAAACTTATTAACATTATAAATATTACTCATTATTCCAACCAAATTTCACAAACATTTTGACTTATGATAGTAGCTCTGACAAGCTGTGATATAACATTTGTTTTTAGCTCTACTGGAAATTTTATTTTCATTCCTAATGTAATTTGAGAGTGCCATTCACAAGTGAAACTGTCTACATAAATTAACAACAAAAACATTTTAAAATAACTGCATGATGACTACTACATACAACAAATTTATTGCAGTCATATAGGAAGTACTTTTTTTACACTCATACTGACAAAATGCAATGCTTTTTTTTCTTTTAAAAAAACTAGAAATGCCAAGATAATAATTACTTACAAATGTATCAATGAGTCTTTTAGCAATATGTTATAATTAACAATATTTTGACCATTATAGGATGGAATATAGTTGAAGCAATAATAACAAAAAGAAAGTACAGTTAGACATTAAAAATTTAATCAGTGAAATCCTACAATATACAGGATACAAATATGATTTGAAAAAAAAAAAACGTCTGTGATGATGATGAGCTAATAACAAATTTACATGCTTTTGTTTTATAAATGAACAACAAGAAAAGTTTGAGCCTATTATTTTTTTAATGAATATTTGGTAGATTTAAGTAGTTCTATTTTGTTTAATATTAAGAGTGAAATTATATCCCATACAAGAATTATTAACAAAACAGCAAGAGTTGCACCAGTTTACAATTAACATTCATATGTAATTCCTTGCTTTCTTAGAAACCCCAAGTCAGTTAACAAGAATAGAAAAAAATACCAGGAATTTTGATACTGTGATGACTATTCTGTGTTTGAGACACACATACATACTGTATTAACCTTCAAAAACACTAAGCAACTAAAGAGGAGCTGCTGATATTAAAAATCAAGAGTTAAATATAAGGTGAATGTTGTGCATGGCTTCATCTACACTTGTATCCAATTGTATTTTAGTATTCCTAACTTGAGATCAAGTCCTTAGGTGCCTTGAGCATACAGTCTTGTCCACTCTCGAGCTTAAATAAAAATATATAGGTTATTTAGTGTTGAGGATAAATACATATTTAAAAATTCCGCATAATGACAATTTTATTTATCATCCTGTCAAGAATTTTTTAGAGGTAACCAAAGTGGTACAGGTTTGTCACCCTATATAGGATGCCTACCCTGGGGCAACCTTATACTTTTTTTTTAAAAAAGTAAAGACACTGTATGTGTGTGTGTATATATATATATATATATAAAATACATAATATAAAATAGTACATAATACTTTATTCTTTGACATAATTTCACTTTCAGTAGAAAACCTAAATGTTGAGGATGTTAATTAGAGGATACATGGTTACTTTCCATAATCAGTATCGTATCGTGAAGCAGTGATACGATTGTATCGATATATCGTCCAATACGATTTATTTATCTTCACGAAATTTGGCAAGCTTTCAGTAAACATTATAAGTCTGTTGTATGGATAAAATCAGAATTTCTAATAAAGTATTTTTGCTAAAATTAATGATTCAATAAATGAAGATGAGTATTGAGTACTACATGTTGTCTTCATTTCTTTTATCAAAACATTACATGTAAAGTAACATAACAAATTAACAATAACAAAATAGTTAGACAGACATTAACTTTTTTTAAATTTCACTTCTCTTGCCAACTGCCATTTAGTTGATCAAAGCTGAGATTTTGAAAAAGCACTTTAAAGTGTGAAGTACTTAAATAAGGCAATGTTAGTAATATAGATAATAAATTACAGACAAGACTGTCAAACTTTGTAACAAACTGTTGGGAAAACTTCTGTATCTAGGTATCATATTATGGTATCAATATCTAGATACATATCGCATCTACTATTATGATGAGATACACACACTCCTAATAATCATTTATAAATAACAGGTTAAAGAACCATGCACACTGATGAGAATAATAACAGCAGATGTTCTATTATAAATCATATTGCAAATGGTGAAATATTTCTAAGAGAAAAGTTTGTTTACATGCAACTGAATTTTTTGTTCACAAATATTAAAGCAAACTAAACATTTTGTCCTTTCAAGTGTATAATCTATAATTGTAATTTAAAATGCATAAGCTTAAGACATAAAAAATGCAGAAATTTCATGTTAATGAGAAGAAAATAAAAGAGAAACATACTAAACCAAATTACCAATTATTTTACAATGTATCTCTTGAAATACATGTATAGCTTAAATTATCTGATTGACTTTACATAATCATCTTGCAACATAAATATGTAAAACAAAATGTTCAAATTATCACAGAGTTTTGTGACAGTAGGCTTGAAGTGGCAGCCAGTTACTGGACATTCAATAAAGATTACAGACTTACTGCCGACAAAAAGAAAATACAACTATTTAAAGTTCTTCAAAAAAACCTTTTTTGTTTTATTCACTAAATAATGTCGTCTAAAATATTTCTCAAAATTAGATAGAAGGGAAGCTAAATAATGAATATATTCTTGGAACTTATGGTAACAAAAATAGTATTAATAGCATATACGCATATCGTTACATGTAGAACAATACTTCACTTCACTATGTGAAAAAATAATGAGACTGTACTGAAATGTCAGTCATTCATCAATTTTTGCAGAGTTAAGAAATACCTACAAGATGACCATTTACCAAATGCAATACTGTTTTTTTCATATGAATGGCTAGATTGTAAAAATATAATGAAAAGGAAGTTTCTCTTGGAGGTTTCAAGTATAATATAGGTTTCATTCTGAGAATGTAAACGTTCAGAGGAAGGCTCCTAGGATGATACCCGAGGTGGAAAGGTTGTTATTCTGGATAGGTTAAGATTTTTGACCTCATTTAGGTATTTAAGATTGTTAAGGACAATGACAGTATGGATGCACCATCTCCTTTTTTTGTACTTAATGGTGAGAATGATAAGACCATGGGACACAAACAGATGTTTTAAAATGGTGGGATCATCTTCAGCAAATCTTTATCTTTGTAAGAGTAGTTGTTGGTTGTCTTCAGATAAGGTAGATTTAAGGGCGATTAAGAGAAGGCTTGGTAAATATTTGAGTGATAAGGGCTGAATTTGAGACCTATATTTTTATTTCAGAGATCAGTATAGTGGATGGGATGGTGTAGATAGATCAACAAGTCCTTCGTTGTATATTTAATATTACGTAACATATTTTAAGCGTTATTCTTGATCGACTGTTGCAATAATTCTAAAAATTTCAGATTGACTTTTGGTCCATCTATGAAAATCTCAATAAATATTTTTGACTTAACTGCCTAACTGATTCACTGAATGTTTCAACAAGAGTTGCAGAATCTTCATGACCCAACTATTCTGATCCACAGTACCTGGTAATTATCTTATTTATCCGATAAATATAGATGTATATCTAACTGTTTTGACTGAGTGAAATGTTTAAACTTTCATTAAAACAAAGTACATGGTAAATTCGATGACGAGGAACCCACTTTGAGACTAATAATGGCTGGAGACGGCTTGAATGGGTAATGAAGAAAAACTTTAATATAAGTGTAACACAACAGCAAATGTACAATGTTTAGACAAGGTCTTGTCATCACTGGGAACAAGTAGTTTACACTGACAGAGATATATATATGTACAGTATGGAACAAAGAGGTCACATGACCGGATACTGCTGCAAGACTTACCTGATGATGACAAAACCTTGTCGAAAAGTTGTACATTTGGTGTTATGTTAAACTTATATTAAAGTTTTTCTTCATTACCCATTCAAGCCGTCTCCAGCCATTAAAAGTACATGGTAATCTTCAAAATTAACTTGATTAACCAGTAAGTTTTTAAGATAAGAAGCCATTTACTACAAGATTTCTGATATAATTGCATCTTCTTTTGTGATAAAAGACTCAACTGTAGCTCTACAGTTTACATTTCATGTGAGCATACTATAGGTCTGCTTGTATTGTAACGTGTCATACTCACAAGACTGTGCTGTTTCATAAACACACCTTGTCATATCCATGAGAAATATGTGAGATACTTATATTATCACGTGCTTGTGAAAAATAAAGTCACACTCATTATGGATATCACACTACAAGTAAATGTCTGTATATGTATGTTAGCTGGGTACCTCATTCTACACCTGGGAATGAATAAAGACAAAATTGTCTTAAACTCGTACAACATCACCAAGTTGAATTATATTGTTAGAAGAATCAGTGGCTAATACTATTTGTATATTTTTTGTCACATTATTGCCTGTAATTCCTGCATTGCATATTATTTGTTTGGTTTCAGAGCAAAGCTACATTGGGCAGTCTGCTGTGTCCATCGCAGGAAATCAAACCCTGGATTTTAGCGTCCGTAAACTTACTGCTATCCCACCGTGTTATTAAAATGTAATATGTGTCTAAAAAGTTGAGAATTTCTTTTAGTCATCAAAATCTGCATGTTCGTAGCCCAAGTAAAAAAATTAAATATATTCATTTCTCATGTAATTTTGAAACATTCACACATTTGAAATTTGCAAAAAATCCTTGTGGCTTGCCTTAGCCACTAAGTATATTAACTTACTTGGCTCACATTTACATTTGGAAGCCCAAACAGAACAAAACATTGTTGTAATATTTTTGTTTTCTCTAGTTATAACTTGCACACCTATGCATTCAACTTTTTATGGATCATTTTAAAACTACATACAAGGCGGCCAGAGGCCATTTTACCATTTTTTATCATTAATAACTTTAACTAGCTCTCATTAATTACTACACGAAAAACGAAAATGATTTTGTGAACTTTCTAATTTTGAGTAGCTGAAAACAATGTTGAGAGATTTTTATTTTGCCTACTTAAAATATCAACTGAACTCTCTACTTTAATCACTCAGAAATTTGCTTAGAAAACCATATAAATTTCCGTCATGTACATTTAGCTGCAATCATCTGTTTCCCAAAACACTAAGTGTTAATGCTTGTATGGTTTTTTTTTCTTCACTGATGCTGCCATCTAGTAAAAGCAAATAAGATATTATGCTCACTAACATCCAATTCACACCAAAACTTTGAACAGGTGTTCCCAGTGGTGTGGTCATAAATGCTTCTGAAACAAACGAAATATCCACATGATACCTGCAGGTTCCTGAATAGTCACGTGAGTTATCTGCATTGTACTCATAGGTCTTGCATGTGTCAATGCAAACTTTCTCAATTGTTACAACTAATGTTAATACTATTTCTAGTACTTTGACTAAAAATTTTAACAGATAGTGCTGCAAAAATTTTTTTTCACGGGTTCTGTATGTGTTTTACCAATCAGGTAGCTCTTCACAACCCTAATTCCCATGCTACCTGTGTCAAATGACTTAACACACATACTAAATCTTGCCTTATAAAGTGAATAGGTTAGGTCCTTAAACACCCAGTTGCTGTATATATATAAAATACGTTACCGATTACTATTCTTCGTTTCCATGCTACCATTTTTGTTAATCTATTCACAATAAGTCAAGTCTGAAGTGTCTACTAACACCTTTAAAACATATCTTATTTCCAAGATTTACAGGCCTGAATCTTAAAAAATGCTTTTTCAATGACTCAAGGATTTTAAGCACCTGTGCAAACCCTGTCTCTAATTAATTTGCTTGCATTGTACTTTCAAAGACAAAGAAAGAAATGATCATAATTATAGAGATAAAAAATTGTCAAGTATTTACAGTCTCATTAAAAAACTATTAAAATGAATTTGACACATATCATAGATATACACATGCTGACAAAATGTACAGTACATAGACTGTAATCTTTAGATACATTATTCAAATAGTTTTTCATATTCCACCGTGCAAAATAAAATAAAAGTTTCACATTACATGAGTAACAAAAGATGTTTCACCTGTTCTAATTGCTTCTGCTTCATTAACTTTCCATTGTTCAGCTACATCATTAGCCAGGGGATCATCAGGGTTTGGAGCACTTAGTAATGCCTGAATAGATAGTAGAACAGTTCTTATTTGTAAAGCTGGACTCCACTTATCTGAAAAAATATAATTACAAAATTGTTTCTCATAGTTGTTATAGTTTAAATAAGTTCTAGAACACAATCTTGATCATCGTTTTGTGTATATGTATATCTACATACTCTAAGTAAAAATAAGTTAAGTAAAACATACGTAATGTTTTATATTAGATATGTGACAAGCACATGCTTACCTTTCAGTATATCTAAACAGATCCTTCCTAGTTTATCTATGTTGGGATGGTAGATTTTTGTCATAAATCGAACTTTAGGAGCTGACATTGGGTACTCCTCAGGAAGAAACAACTCCAACTTGAAAACTCCTCCTTCAAATGGTGACTACAAGCAACAAAATATCAAACAGAGTTGGTTATTTTCAATCTTTTTTTACAACTCTAGGCCCTGTGTGGGTCCTATTTCTGGAAGTATTAGACAAAATGTTTCAACACTTATGAATTATATTTTGGTGTTCAGTAACAATCCTGAAAAAAAAACATTAATCACATTGAGATGTATTATACCTGCCTGTGAAGACCTTGGGGTGAGGCTAATGTGTCACAAGTTCAAGATGAATGTAGAACAACAAAATATGATACACACACACATATATATCAATGAAAAAGTACAAGTAAAATTAATCTAGAGACATATAGCATCCAAAATAATGTTTTAAAGTTTTTATCCATCTCACTTGGTAACCTTGGAAATGTAACTGTTACTTTCAGTTCAAGATAAATAAATCAAAAATATTATTATTTACAGGAATTAAAAAATACAGATAGGCTATCTAATTGTTGGACAATTCTGCAACTGTAGAGTAAAAGAAACAAGGTGAGGTACTCAACAAATGAAACTAACTTTTTAATGAATATGAAAACATTTCAGGCAACAGCCCTTCACTGGATTTTCAGTGAGGAGTTAGGGTATAAGAAAAAAAAAGAGAACAAGCGACTAAAAGACTCAAGAACAGGGGCAGGCAATAATTTTCGCAAGGGGGCCACTCCATGAATTTAGGTAAGTCCCCAGGGGCAGCACATTTCTACTATATTAATTAAATTACCTCAACATCGATTGTATAAAGACCCCATCATGTTCTTTCCAATTGCCGGGAGTCACGGCAGGCAGGATAGAAATGTTAGTCAGACTGAATCCGGCCCACAAGCCATATTTTGCCACCCCTGCTCAAGAACATATCTTTAAGGTAAAAAGAAGTAAGAGGGGGGTGTGATAACAATAATAAAATAAATAATTTGTTAGGTAAAGTTAGAAGAAATAATAAATCATGAAAAAAGAAAGTAAATTAGAGTAAATATCTAATTAAAAAATATGTAGGAAATAAATAAAAGCAACAATGTAAGAAAATAAACCTAATGATAATGAATGTGTGCATCAAATAAACATCGTCTGGTGAAATACTATAATGAAAGGTATAAGTATTTAATATTAAAAAAGATCAAAAAAGGCTGTAAGATAAAAATAAACAAACAAATATAAAAACAACAAATATGGTAAAAAATGAAAGATTTGGTATAACAGACATTTGTAAAATGGTCGAATTAGTGAAAGAGAAAATAGCACATGTTCATTGAATAAACTGTTACGGAAACAACATTTTTTTATGAGTACACTTAGATTAGATATAAGGGAAATTTTAAAGATGGGGACAGGGAAAGGTTAACAGAAATAGAATTCTTCATTCATTCCAAGGGGGGTTAATAGTGTCTGATTTCAAAATTTCCAGGTGTTCTTTTTTATGATACAGTGGAAAAAGCAAATATAATTATTCATATAGTGTCTACCTGTGGGTTTTGTAGTGTCATTATTTCTTATAAAGGAAAGATGTTCACATGAACTATAGCCTAAGCAGTGACTTGTTTGACCAATGTATAACATGCCACATTTTTTACAAATCACACAACATACACAGCTTGTCAACATTGACATGAATAACTTTTGTTTTTGGAATTTTAAATCGAGCTCATGTGTTGATGCTGTGGCAAGTGATGCATTTATTTTTCTGACAAGATGTACCCAAGTTCACACTGCAGGTTGGTTTCTGGACGGTACTGTGGACCTTCTTTAAAAACTTTGGAAGTTGTTGGATTTGAGTTACTATGCAAATTTATAATTTACTACCTCCAAGATCACCTCATCAGGTAAGGAAATTATTTTAACACATAGATAGCTTGGTTGGAAAGTCAGTTACATTATAACTGTTTTAGGACATTGTTTTTTGGTTGTGTGTTAACATTTTGCATTATAGCTCGCATATTTAAAACAAGTAAAAATTAAGTAAAGTACTAATAAGACCCCTACAAAAAAAAGGGGGGTTAACTTTCATCAAGATTTTAAGAGCAAAAAGACCCAGACATATACATAAAAACAATAAATTTATTACTTATTTTTTTATTTATTGTTATTAAAATAATTAACATACAAAAATTACATATTTATTAAGTTAGATAAGAAAAATTATATACAAAAAATATTCAATGCCAAGATTACATTTGTCACATACAGCATGCTGTAATTTGATTTAGTTTTGCTGGTAGTAACTCAATGCTGTGTTTATGTAAGGCTTCAACTATGTGATAGTTCACTTTGGCAATATTCTAAGTTGAAGTAAAACAATAAACCTAAATGACTGTAACAATATGCAAGCATTCTAGAAATACAAAAACGTAATTCAGATTTATTTCATAATTATTTTTGCTAGTTACAGCATTAAAGTAGAGAACATAACATTTAAAGTACAGTTTTACTGGAAACAATCTTTTGACATTTATATACAAGGTTCTGGAGGTTATGCAAATGAAATTTGATAACTGTAAATTGCAATTAAGTATTTTTAATCTTAGTGTGAAAATCACCTTGCACCCAGACTCTGACTCTATGAATTCACAGACAAATCTTTAGTTAAAACATTTATTTAAAAAATCAGATTTTTTTTTATGTATGAAAGACTAAACATTTTCCATATTTTTGAAGATGTACAACTACTACATTAAATATTATAGTATGTATGGTTACATGATGGTTAAAAGATGGTCCAAAATGACCAAGCCTATATACAAAAAAGTTAAAGAGTTTTTCTTATTATGTCATGAAGTGTATTGATGTTAAAGTCTCATTTAGTAATGTAATTTTAACAATGTAACCAGACAAATTATATATTTGTTAAATTGTTGTGATGTCTCTGTTGCCATGTATTTTTACAGGAGTGAGAAAAGATTATTCCATTTTCTTGACTAATAAGGTACTCTCCCTCTGCTCACAAGATTTGCTTGAATCCCACATTAAAATGTAGGAAAGACCGGTACAAGGGAAGCACAGGTGTATCCTATGGAATCATCCAGAGAACACCCCCAAAATGAGAGGAACAGATCAGGTAATCTGAGGAGGGGTACCGCATCACATCTGAGCCAGATATATCTCTTTGCCAGGAACACTGACATGGCTGAACATTAAAGGGAGCACATCTGGAAGAAGATAATTTAGCAATGTGATCTTAAACAGAAATCAGAATCACTCAATCCCACAATGGAAAGTGGGCAAGGGAGGATGTGTCCCATGGTGTAGAGTGGCTAGGGCACAACAGACACTACTCGATAAGTCAACTACATTCAAAACCTAACTCGCTGGGTACCGACATCCTCACTAGAGTAGGATGAGGATCGTACCATCTTCATTTCAAGTCCCAGAGTCAAGAACGAGCCTAACAATCGACTCCATGAATTCACAGGGTAGCCTAATGCCAGAGACCCGGGAATGTGTCATCCTAAATCTGAGGGAAGTCCATCGCATGCACTCAACCCCCACAACTATGAAAACAACCCAAAACGACCCCAGGTTGGTAACAACCTCATCACCCAACAAAAGAAATCCAAAGGACAGAAGCGGAAACAGGCCACGTAGACTTTCTGTGACTCACAACACAGAAAACAAGATAAGAGAGGAAGATGGACAACCCAAAACCTGTGTGAGGACTTATGTGATTGGTTCACTTGAACTCCAAAACCTCACTTGCTGGGTACTGACATCTGCACGAGGGTAAGAGGAGGGCACACAATTGGAGGGGTGCACTGCATTTAGGCATCTCAACTCCGTGAAATATTCACTCATCCAGAGGATCTTGTAACTACCTGTACACTGGCAGAACACCACCACCCTACTCTGAACTGAATGGTTATAGCCATCTTTGTGGAACCCATCCAGCAGGTTGCCTCCATGGTAAACCACACCAGTGGCTTGGAACTGTTAAGTGGTAAGGACTCCCATACTCCACAGGAAGAAATGGGGAAAAGTGTAATGGAGAGTCCAGAGGAACTGCAACACCCAAGACAGTGCAATGGGTGATCACAAAACCCTATTTTGAAAAGTAGACCACACTGATTTATTCAAACTAGGCATGGCATGGATGTGCAACAATCCCCCTTCTGCTTTACCCATGCCATCCATGGGTGGTATGGTCTGGGATGGGTATATTATGATGCAATTATCATGAGGAACTTACACTCTAGTGATCTTGTGAAACACTCCATCTCAAGAGTCAGCATACATAGCCATGAAAAATGTATAAGAATCAACATGACTTACAGTGTGGATTTGATATCAAGATGTCTGTGAATGGTTATAGCACTCTAAGTGGAACCCATTTTGAATACAGACAGAATACCTGGTCAGGCACTACTCGCCACAGAGCGGGATCCAAATTGAAGCTGAAGCAGGGGCTTTTGAAAGAAAAGAAAGCATTAGTGATGGCTTACCTCATGTAACAGCCATGCAGAAGACTCAAGAATAGACACAGGTGGCAGGCAATACCCTAAGGAAGCAGAAACAGCAATGTAGCATAGGTAGTGGGAGATGAACATGTGCGGAGTCGTCCACATGCCTGATAATAGAATCTTTTCCAATGGCCGACAAAGACGAGAGGCAAGGGAGAAGGTAAGGTGGTGGATTTGATGTGAGGAAACATGAAAGAGATTATGCTGGGAAGGAATAGGCTAACTGGGAAAATATCACAGGAAGAGGAAAGTTGTGAAGGGATAAAAAAGGCAGGAAAGAGAACCCTGGAAGGAAGCCGTGTGAGCAACAGAACAACGGAGGGCACAGACAGGACAGAGGAGTCTATCCGGATCAGGACGAGATTAAAGAGATGAGATGTAGAGGATAGGCAGATAAGGGAAGAAAAGGACTTACCTTCTTGAGCCACAGAGGTCTTGGGAAGGAAAGCATGATTCGGATAAAAGATAAGGTAGGAGGAGTGGTATAAGGATCTGGTAATGTTGAGGGCAAAAATATCCAACCTACAATGCCCGGAGGACAGGAGGAGGAGGAGGAAATATGTTTTCAAAGAGAGGTGAAACAGGGAATACATAGACAGAGGTTAGAATAAAGGTAAAAAGAGGGCATGAAGGACCATGTCAATGTCCCACTCCAGGAGCGACTGACATCTTGGTGGCAAACAGAGTTGGAAGGAACGGATCAACATGGAAAGGACAAGGGATGCAAAGACACTGCAGAAGTGGGAAAAGTGTAATGTATGGGATAACATTGCCCAAAACTCCGAAATCGAGGAGACCAAAGAACCCCTCTCAAAGAGCCACATGAGAAACTTGGAGATACAGGCAACCATTTGGTAAGAAGCCTGGAAACTCCGAGTCAATGCCCAGGAGTGATAAATGCTCTATTTGCATTGATAGATGGCCAAAGAAGAATGGCAGATGGAATGGGCTAAATGTGAAGGTACTCTGTGAGAAAAAATGGAACTCCTTGCCAAGGACTTGACAAAAGCCAAGCATGAAGACGGAGGACACTGCATGGGATGAAGTGCTGGTGATTGGAGCTGATGAAGCAGGTCGAAATGAAAGGGAAGATGAAGGTGAGGGATCACCTGCAGGAGGAGCAACCGAGAAAAGGTTGAACATGCCAGTAAGGAGCAACCAGAAGGACCATGCATGTAGTGACATGGATGAGGGAGACTCTCCAATGAAGTAACTGGATGGGAGGGCAAACATAAAGGAACAGATAAGACCAATCCTGACTGAAGGAATCAACAGACAAGGCTCGAGGATAGGGTACTGGGGACCAACATCAAAGTAATTTATGACCGATATCAGTGGCAAAGGTATCGATATGGGGCATACCCAGATGCAGGGACCACTCCATGGGAGAAACTAGGTCCAATCGCGAAAGATGATTGGCTAAGAGATTGAAAGCACTTGGTATATAACATGGCATCAAATGAATGTGATGTTTGTGGGCCCAAAAAAAGAAGATTCATAGTGTGAAAACCTAGGGATCTGGACATGGTGCCACCTAGGTGATTTTTGGAATGGATCATAACCAGCCGGCAGCTGGAAAGAGATAGAAATTGATCCAAGCCTGATGAACAACCAGGAGTTTGAAAAGAGAACTCTCTTCCACAGACCAATGACACAAAACCTCCTGGTGATCCACCCAGGCACCCCCAGCCCTGAAGGGATGCATCTGTGAAAAGATATAAATCTGGCCACAGAGGAGAAGGTGGGACTCCTGCCAAGGTGTGGGCTCTGTTCAACCACCAATGGAGATCGTCTACAAGGGAATGGATATAGAAGTATCCAAGGCATCCCGGGCAAGGATCCATTAATCATGAAGGACCCATTGAAGAAACCACATATGGGCCCTGCCCAGGGGTATGAGATGGGTTATTTAGAACCACATCCCAAAAAGTGAGGGAACACACATAAAATGGAGCCAAAGAGGAGAAGGTTGAAGAAAACCCTCAAATGGATAAGGTACTGGGTAGGACAAAAGAAAGACTTCTCCAATTTACCAACCATCCCACCCATGCAGCTTTGGCCAGGAGCTGATGAGCATGGCAGGCCAATTCTAATTCTGAATGAGCAAGAAGAAGCCAGTCGTCCAAATAAACATGGAAGTGCAAACCCATGGCATGAATATGTTGAGCAAAGGAGTAGACCCCATGACAAAACATGTACGGTGCTGAGGCAAGGCTGAAAGATAAGGTGCAAAACTGGTACACAACCCTTCAATGGACAAACTGAAGATATGGACAAGAATGCTCCACCACAGGAATGTGCAGGTAAGCATTGGAAACGTCCACCTTAGTCATCCAAAGATCTGGAGAAAATGCCCACCAAAGAGAAAGGTATTTCTCCATGGTAAAGTGAGGAGTGTGAACATACTGACTGAGATGGGATAAATCGATGACAGTACACCAGTCCCTGGTCTTCTTGGGAACCACAAACAGGTGGGAGAAAACCCCTGTGAACTTAGTTCGAAAGCCTGTTGTGTGATGAGGTCCTGAACTGCCTCTGACAGATGCTGATGTGTTGAGGGATCCTGAGGAGAAGGGAAGGGAATGGGAACACTGGATAATGGAGGAAGGGAAAGAAAGGGGACAACAAATCCCTCCAAGAGCACTTTGTGAATCCAGACATCGGCAAGAAAAGGTCCCCACAGATGAACGAAATTCAGTAGACAAGCCCACACTGGACCTGAACAGACCACATAGTCACCGGTACTGCTGTTGGCAAATCGTGTGTCATCAAGTAAATTGTCGAACCATGTCACTGTGGGAGAGTGGGACAGGAAGAGGTTGAGAAGGGGAAGGTCGGGAGAGAGAGGAATCGGTGCTGCACTTGGCCCCGACTGCAACAAACGAGTTATCAAGTGAGTAATGGTAAAATGTTGAAGGTCAGAGGCTACCCACGACTCTAAAGACCCAGGAACCGAGTCAAACACATAATGTCGCAAAAATGGTGCCATGCGGAGATTCCTCAGATAAGGAGCCTGGAAATGGGTCTGCACCAAAATCACATCACAGCCAAAGAGGTCCCAACAACAAACAAACGATATTTGAAGCGCAAAAGGCAAAGACGACAGATGAGCCAATGTAGAAGTAAGAATGAAGAGGATGTCAGCAGAAAACCCTCTTAAGGTTCCTGTGAAGAGCCTCTTTCACCCCCAAACAGGTAGAATCGATCCCAACAATTATTGGTCGAGAAAAGGAAAGTCTGCCCAATTATAAGCAAGGGCAGAATGATTTGAAGTCCCTAGGACGAGGCATACTAACGGCCTCTCCCAGTTGAGAGGCAAATCGGTTCTCGTGAACCCTAATATAGGGGAACAGGGGAAAGACTAAATAGGGTTGGAAAGTTTCATGTAAGGGAAGGTCTAGAGCCATAGGAAACAGGTGTAAGAAACAAAACATCACATACCTGAGAGATAAAGTCAGAAAAAATCGACGATGGACAAGCTGAATCATCATGTAGTGAATGGGAAGCACAGCAAACTTCGGGTGGGGAAACAAACAATCAAAATTGTCTACAGCCTGGCCTGAAAGGCTCAGGAGGAAATGGGGCAGAAGTAGGCGAGAGAGGTAGGCTCATATACCTCTCAATCTTCTGGTGAATGAGCGACGATACACCCCCCTCCCCGATGGGTTGCCTGCACCTGTGGCTGAAAATATGGCATCAGATGCTGGTGGGGACTGTAACTTCGGAATTCGTAAGCAGGAAACTCAAGGAAGTAATGCTTTATCAAAATATTAACTCCACAACTGTGAAGTGATGGAAATAAAATTAAAAGAAAATGAAAAAATAAACCATTTCAAGGTAACTAAATAATGTCAAAAAGAACATCTGAACTCGACAGCTGCCAAACGAGAAGTGATAGTAGTGGCGTGTAGAGGGAGTCATATGCGTAATGTGATAGTAGTGCATGATGATTTTCATGAGACGTGTTGGAACTTTGGATTCCAACAGAGGGAGGATGAAATCTTGTGGCATGTGTTTCTGAAAAAAATTTGCATAAAGAGGGCAGCACAAAACGAGAAAGGTTAATCTTGTGAGCGGAGGGAGAATGCCTTATCTGAATTGCAGTTTCTGAGTTACCTTTGAAAAAAAGCTGGATAACAAGAAAATCTCAACTAATCTCACTGCAAAACACCACAACTATAATGTACAAATAAGGTCACTAAAACAAAGCTTTTGACTGTTAGCCTAATTCCAAGCAAATATGTACTCAAACTTATGAAATTTATTACCTGAACATACAGCCTTATATATTTAAACTAATAACTGCTACATAATAATAATAATAACGTACTTACCTCTTCTGGCCCAGCAACGACAACATGAAAATACCTAGCATTACTTTCATCAGGTGTTGCACTAATTCCAGGAACAGGTTCTGCCAACAGTCTTTGGGTTTCCTACAGAACATATTTCCAATTAGAAAATATTATGTATCAGATGAGGTAACATCATGGCTAAAATAGTTAATTCCTCCCATAAACATTTTACTACTATGTTATGAAGTTATTGATTTTTTTTGCTTAATGCCCAGGACATCGAACACAGGATGTGTTTACAAAAGCTAATCTGCACTTGTACATCAATGACAATAAACAAGTACCTAGGGTCTCAAAAATGCATTAGAAATTATAATTTCAGTCTACTTCAGTTCCATTTAGTAAAATATGTATGAAATTTAAAGACAGTCAGTCCTTGATTATGACATGAATGAGAATGTAGAAACTCATTCCAGCTAAGAATGTCATTTAGGAGTAATAAAAGGTCATAAAAGGTCCTTGATTATGACATGTGTGAGAATGAGAATGTAGAAATTCATTCCATCTAAGAATGTCATTTAGGATTAATAAAAGGTCATATTGAGTAAAAGATACTTAAATATTAAATATGAAGACAAAACTAGGCCTAAATATATTAAAAGAAACTGAGATTTACAGCTACATTTCTTTTCTTTTTTTTTTGACACAAAGCACAATGAACCTGTCATTGATAACAAAGAAAGTAATTCTTGTAAGTAAATTACTGAACATTCTTTTAAACACTGAATAATTGTAGCAAAAGGCATTTTACCAATAAAAATACTTTAGGTCTGATTAGTTACAATTCAACCAAGTATGTTTTCAAAATTTATGATTTAAAACTTTTGGCTAATTTCAAATTTAATTTACATGCAAATGTGTAGAGCTGAAAATACTAACAGTGACCCAACTGACAGTATACATTTCTACTCAATTTGTGATATAAAATTATTTTTACAATTCAAAAGTCAATTTTGAAATTATTTTACTTCTAGTCTATATAATCAACTTATGTCTGATTAGAAGTTCTTAATAATGCTCTTAAATAATGAATGGTAAAGGTTCAAAAATAATTCAGACATAATACACAGAAGTATAATATAGATGCTGCTGGCATGTGTTTTGTTTTGAGCTGATGGTAACAGAGAAAGAAAGTATGTTACAACTCTAGCTAGCAAACTCTATGGCACACTGTCCAAGCAACAAAGCAACAGATAGCTAGGACAAGAGAGAGGAGAAAACATCTAATTGCCTTCCTAGGCAGTCCAAGTCTTCTGAAGAAAAGATTGGTCTGGAAATAACATTATTCAGTATCTAGATAAATGAGTACAGGAGGGGCCTAAGATGTAAATGTCTGAATGACAACAATGATCACAAGCAACATGAGGCCAATGACTTAAAGAGGGGGGTGCATGTAAAAGCCAAAAAAATCACACAAAGGTCCCAGTTGGAAGAGAGACTGGATGAAGAGGGTGATGAGAAAAAAGGCCTTTAAAAGATCTGTGAGAATAGGCAAAAGGCAAGAGACAGAAAGTCCTGAACAGCACAACATGGTCGAAACAGACAGGCCTTTGGTTAAAAGCAAAGTAAAAAAGGAAGTAAATGTGGAAAAGCTCACTTACATTGAGAGAGGGTGAGTAGAAGGCTGGCAAGAAAAAGAGAGAATGTCTCTCTTATGCGAAGACAAAGGCACCATATCACGAAAATTGGATGACTGAGGTTGATCGAGGAATGATCTCCAAAGGAGAAAGAGGGATGAGGTGAAGCAGAAGGGAAAACCATGACTGAGCTGACCATAGTAGAGCAGTCAGAAAAACTGAGCAAAGGGTGCCACAAATGATAGAGAGTACCCAGAGAAGAAGATGAAGAGGAGGGTAGGAATAAAGAAAGAGACTGGACTAATTGTGGCTCAGAACACTGACAGCCAGTGCACTTGAGTCTGAGATGGGTGACCAGAAGAAGGGAAGTTTGGAATTGAGGAGAGTAGCAAAAGCATTGATCTGAGGAGTACTGAAATGGGAGTAAATCCAATGGAAGACCAAAAGGTGCAAGGACCATTTTGCAGGATGAATCTTTCACTCAAGACAAGGGATCTGCCACCAGATTCAAAACCCCTGGGAGGTGACATACTTTAACCCTATCACCCTAGGTACCCTTTACTGTGTATGACACAAGGTTTTTGTGTTTTACACTCAAAATTTTATTAACTCTTTTGAGATGGGTCACAGGTGAAAGGCCATGTCATCTCGCTTGTTGACTCGCATTCAAAATTTTATTGAACTACTATTTCATGAATTTATGTTTGGTACCAAACTGTAGATTATAATTCAATTTTTAGAACTATACATTGCTCAATTTGTAAATTTTAAAGTAAATATAAAAAAAACACAGATAAACATCGATTTTTGTGTGTCACGTGGTATGTTGAATGCAGCACTGGTTCAAATTAGATGTTTGTGAAGTCAAAATATTAAGTCTATAGTTTCATATGAATTAGAAACTCCAATTACAGATATTGACAAGCTAGATTATAAAATAATAAGGTCTTATCTTTTCTATTTGTTCAAATTTCATATTTCTTTTAGACCCAAATAGAGCTTAGTTACTAAGTTTGATAAATTACAGTAGAATTCTATGGTATTGATGTAGTAATTTAAGATTTTTTAGTTATTCAAAGTATATATATATATAAAAAACCTAAAAAAAATATTTCTTTCACGTCCTCCACATGCAAATTTTTTAAAGGCTTAGCAACCTACATAAAGCAGCATCCGAGTATAAAGGTTGTAACTGGAAGAGATAATTGTTTGCTTTACTTCTATATTTACTGTTCTATGTTTTAGGAAAAATAACTTTAAGAACTTACTTCAAAATAGCAATAATCTATATACATATATAATGTATAGTAATTGAAATGTGACTGTATTTTACAAAATACTAGTCGACTAAAACACAGCCAAGACAAGATACTTTGTACAGACCAAATGTCACCTTTATGTTATTTGATACGGTAACATAAGTGCACGTGAGCTGCGTAGTTGTAACTTTTGTATTGTCAGCTAGGTATGGATGAAAGGTCAATATAATAAAAATAATAAATATATATAAATGTATAATGTTATGAGATTTAAGCTATTTTGTCTAAACATTTTTGTTTTTATAATTTGTGTTCATTCTAGAATAAAATAGGTATAATTTATGTGTATTTCTAAATTCTTTATGGTGGTTGCGAGATTGGTAAAATTTACCAAACCCGTACAGAGATGAATTACTGAAAATAACAGATAAAATATAAAGGTTTTTCCTAAGAAATGTTTGATAACTATCCAGACATTATAACGATTTCGTTTGATAACTATATGGACATTATAAAGATTTCGCATTTCTGATATTTCAAAATTTTCTGATGCATAAGAATATTTTTAATCTTAAAATGAAAATTACTTTGCATGATAGATAGGCAAGATATGAAAGGAAAAAAGGCATGGGAGAAACATTGCTTTACAAACTTTAAGACTTAATAAAAATATTTGATATTTTGCATATGAAAGCATCGTAATGTTTACTGATAAACTGCCAAATTTCATTAACATTTGTTTACTAATTAAAAATTTATAGCATGAAAACTATAACAAGCATAAAATGGTTACGAGGTCGGTCCCAGGGACCGAGCATGGGTTAAAAAGAGTTAAACCACATTTTACTTACATTAGTTAATATACAAGTTTTAAGTTCTTAATTCTACAAGGCAATATTTCAAAAATCCTGGATTTCCATTAGTGTGACCCACGTGACACATTTTTTCTTAGCATGTCATCATCCCTATTCTATCCACCACCCCTTGAAAAAGTATGAAATTAAACATAAGTTACTCTCTATAAAATTGTTATTGCTCAGACAAACCACAATTTTTATAGTATTCAATTTTGTTTGGTTACAGACCTCTCCTGCCACACCCTCTTTTTCACAAGTCATTGATAGTTCTCTCTTATGTTTCATTATATATTACTTATAACCAATAGAAAGTCAAGGTTTTCATCTATCAAATGAAGTATTGTATAACGTTGTATTCTGAACAGAATATCATCAATTTCACTCACAGTACAAGATTTGTTCCCATGGGAAAGTTAACAACTAGCTAGGATGAATTTGTAACGACTCTTGTCACATAGTTAGAAAGCCAGAAACATTTTGATAGGTAAGGAAATTTGTCTACTTTTTGCATGTTATTAGTCTATATTATATATTGCATTATTTAATTAAATAAAAATTATTAAGTGCATTACTATAATTACTATAAAAAATCAGGCTTAACTGTTCTCGACAGTCGAGGGCAAGAAAAAAAGAAGATTGGGTAAGTACTTTATTACTTGTTTATCATATTTATTCTTTCTTTATTTATTATTATAAAAGTAACTAAAATCTGAAAATACAGATCATTTTAAGTTATTTAAGACTAGATTAGGTAAAATAAATAATATAATTAAAATGGTTCACGAGTAGTTCATGGGTAATATAATTTGATAGTGTAACATGAACTGCACGTTTCCCGAGTGCTTTACAACTTATAATGGCACGGATAGTAGTTAGACACAGTTCAAAGGGCAATAAAACAATAAAATATAATTATAAATAGATGTATACTGTTATGAACTTAGAGCTACTTAGGATAAACCAATGTAGTTTCATGTTACAATCTGAAGTCATTCTAGAAAGAAAAAGTTTGGTTTATTTTGATTTTTATTGGTGGTTACGAGATTAGATGATTTGGAATTATTGCAAAGCTATTAAGTTATCTGCTATTGTCACTAATTTTTAATTGCTAACCAGAATAAAGTCAATTGGCTGTTAGGAAGATAGATGGCTTGTTGTTTACTATTCCACCCATTCACTCTGGAAATTATCTTGAAATGAGCCTGGTATGACTCCCTGGTATTGTTATATCAGTTTTCTATTTTTGGTAGGTTTGTTTAAATTATCTGATAAAAATAATTCAACCCATTTGGCAAGAACAAATTACTTTATTTCCTCCTATAATATTTCTACAAACATTAAATGCTTGTACACTGTTATAACTTGTTGTAGGCCTACATTACAAATGATGTTCAAACCCCCTACTAGACTAAAGTAAAATCAACTTACTTGTAGGAAGTAAATCAATAAGCACAAGAGCAAACACAGGACCCAAAACTTTATCAAAATGCACTTACTGATTCAAATATCTTGTAATAACTCTACACACTTCACAACTATCATGAATTTATAATTTAGCTTTGTATCAGATTTTAAAAAATAATATATATATATATATATATATATA